TTTCTCTTTCCACATACATTCCTAATTCACAGCTAATGTCGACTTACTAAGATTACTGTCGAATTGTCATCAAAGTTGTCGCTCTTCTATTGAGGGTCCAACCTTCACTGGTCTTCTTTTTCTTTTCAGTGTCTATAAACTAACTTTTTGGGAGCTCGTCTACTTTCATCTTGAGAATTCCATAGTTCTTAGATAGGATCCTATCCGAAGAGATCCTGCTGTCAGGGGCAATCGCTCATTATCCGTGGAAAACGATAAAGTGGCCCAGATTTCGAGTCAAAATTTTACTAAGGGTAACAACTATTTCCACGGTATTGTGCACAAGTCAGTACACAGAGCAACTCCCACAAAGGGAAAGATATAATAATGCTTCCAGGATTAAAAAAGGTCAAGAAATCCAGCGGAAGAGAGAGCTTCTCAAAGGAGCCAACCTTTTGCGTGAACTTATTACTAAATTTCGCTTTGCTTCGACGCTTTCATTGTCCTCCTTCCGTCAGTCATCCAAGAAATCTTGTGACTTGACTGCAGGGTTTCTTTTGACTAACCCAGCGTCCTTTAGATACATATATCTTGATGAACGCTCAAAATGCTAGAGGTGCCATCGCTGTCGATGCTTTGACCATTATCTCGGTAAATGTTCTTCTGGAGTTTCAGAGCTTCGAAGGAGAGCTTCGTTCTCAGATAAATGGAAGAGCGAGTCTCGTACCTGAGACATCACCTGCGGATATAATACCATCGTAAGCCATGCTCCTCAAGAGAAGAACTGATTCTCACTTTTTTGAAAGCCACATTTGCATAGGCATCTCAGAAGAAATCACGGGATTATCTTCACCTTGATAACCTTCATGACAAAATTTTAACAGACTCAGCTGATGAGAGTCGTTTTTACCGATTTTTTCAAGAGTTCGCTAGTTCTTTCTTGAGGTGCATTGGTCAAGATTCAAACATATTCAAACAGAGTCGTGCTTTGACTTGATCTTTTGTATGGTATTCAGTGTACTTGTGAACAAAGTCGTGTGCGTTTCCAAGTACACTGAATTTTTTTTGGAAAGCTCATATAATGGATGGTTGAACCACCTTCTATCCGCACGTTGAGCTAATTGTCTTTTCGCTATCGATCTCTATTGGACCACAGCTGGTGACACATAATGGAATGCAGGTGGCAGAAGAGATCGACAACACTATGAGAAATATTATTCAAATTTGAGTATACAGCCTACTTGTTGTAGTACCTGTAACCGCTTGTAACTTCACTTTTTGCTCGCTCAAAACCGCTTTTTTGATTGAGAACCGGCCCTATGTGCTCAGAGAAGCGCACGATGCTCGCCAATCCATCTACACCGTTATTAAGTAATCGGCAATTATATATTTTATATGGTTAAGAATTCTTCATCGTCAGATATCAAGAAATCAACAAGACCAACAACTTGTGTTTATGTCAGCCAAGGTGACTGGCTATGCTTCCTTGGAAACGGGAATACTTGAAAGAAAAAATATCAGAATATTAACTAGTTTTTTTCTGAAGGAAATCAAATTAATATACTAAGCCCCTTCTGATATTTCGAGCCTGCTGGTACTGAGGGCTTTCACATAAGGAAACTGAGAAGACTATCCGAAAAGGGGGCTGAAAGGGAAGCATTCCCCAACAGAAAACTGTCGTGATAACGATTCAACTCTATATTTGGAAAGAGATTTCTCCGGGTTAATTGTAATCTGGCGTAAGGCGTGTTCCTAAATGGACATGGCAGTGACGAAGGCCATGGGTCAATAGAGATCTATGGCGAGGGGTCGACCAGTTCAACGTCAATGAAAAGGCGATCCAGCAATCTACTCTCAAAGTTCTACGTAATTTCCTCACGCCCCACAACGATTGTTGTATAGCGTTATGAATATAAATGTTTCATCAAGACGTGGTTCTGCAGAATTCGGCCAGCTTGATGTCTCACCTGACACTCATCGAATGGGGAACCTTACTGATACATCCAAGTAATTCGTCTATCAAGATGCTATTTGGTTGGCACCATAGCTGATCAGAGTTTTAATCGGACTCGTGAATAAACAAGGTGAGGTAATTCGGTAACTTGAACCATTATTTCAGCTGAAATTGAATGAAATTTGTCATGAAGTATAAAAGATAGGAAAATAGGAAGTATAAAAATGACTACATCTTCAAGCGTCCCTCAGCTTAGGTCACACTTGCCTATTACTAAGCGAAGTAAAGCTTTCAGTCAAAGTGGATGATTTACGATGTAGGTAACATATTGGGCAATAAAGACTCGAACTTCGACTTCTATGAAAATAGAGTCGAAAAAATTCAAAAACGATAATTATTATATTTGCATTTCCAATGAGCAGGGTCATCGGGCCGTCTTCATACGAAGAACGTGGCAGAAAAGAAGTCGCAAATTCTTGGAAATATACCATTTCGAGTCAAAGTTTTCAGCTGAATTCAAATAAATTCTGTTACAGGGGCATCAAAGCGACCAGGTTTTCACAGTCCTTTCTAATACAGCGCTGTACATATCTCTTAAGCACTTGAAGTACGGTTTCCAAAATAGAGTGTGAACTATGCTGTCATGTCAAATACCCTAGTTGCTGGGAGACACGCAAAAGTTTAAAAAAATTAAAATGCAAAATTGATCTGAATTCTTCACATAACGAGCTTTCCGCTACTCTCATATTCAATTTGAATGGAGTACTTCAGCAGAAATTATGGTGAAGCGGCGGTTTGCGAGGGAGGGATTATTCCGTCTTGAGGGAAGAAGTTTGTGTTCTGACTGCCGTCCATTTCTTGACTAGTCGAAGAGTGGAGCAAAGTCAACATCCAAAACTTTTTCCACGCACCAAATCAGCATCAACACTGTCGCTTTTCCAAAAAGCCTGAGCACTTATCAAGAATGCATTTGCTGAATCACCACCTGCGTGATCGGATTCNATTTAGACTTCTTCCTGAGACGAAGGAGGGAAACAAAGTGCGAAAGTTATAAAGGTCTTCTGAAATCGTGGAGGTGCCAAAAATGTAATGAGCAAATTACGGCAAACAACTTCGACGACTGCGATGACTCATTTCTTCGAACTGAAAATACTGATCATAATCTTGAAAAAGTGTTGGAAAGTGTTTCACACGAGGCTGAATTGTATCAACAAAGCAGATACTGTTGGAATCAAAATAAACTCAATTAGTAGTATTGAAGAAGCTGTCATTTTTGTCGATGAATTACGCTAGCTGAAATTTTGGTACCTCAATACTCTGACATGCAGTTGTTTGAAAAAATAAACAGTGATAACTTGCAGTATCGGTTCCACCGTCAAGAAGCATACTTGATCCTGACTAAATCAGGAAAAATGTTATAAGTAAGCAGATTCCAACGATGTCCCGGCTGCTATTCCAAACATATCTCTACCCTTTTACTGATCCGATGTTGTTTAGTTTTAATTGAAGGAAATAACCTTTACAGCGGTTCTTAAATAACCTATAAAATACGATGGCTCTGCTGTTCAATGAAGTATGGGAGAGAAATCAGATCATAGTGTATCTTACAGTTTGTGCGATTGACGCCAACACTCACAAACGCGCAAACTGCTGACTATAAACAATAAAACGTACAGATGTAGTGTACTTCAAACCGGCTCTTGTAGGAACTCGCTATTTTTTTACAATTACCTCTCGTTACAAAAGCGGGTGGAATCTCACTCCTTTCTTTCAGATCTAATGTTGTGTGAGTTGAGGGTAGGACGATGATCTATAGATGGTTTTCTCACGCAGTAAGCTTAATACGACGCTGATAACGAGAACTGATTACAAAAGGCAGCCACGCGGCGCGGATATACAAAGGTAATGGAAGAATTGGCGAGGAAAACGACCGGCCGGGGCTCCCACTCCTCGGGTCCGAAGAGGCTCGGCACATCACGTCTCTAGTGCTCGTTATTTGTCTGCTGTTGTACATATTCGATAAATGATATCCAGTGTTATTGTGTCGTCTGTACATTCAAAGAGGGGATACCCCGAAGATATTACCGGTAGAAGTGAGGGCGTTTTCACTCAGTGGAGGCCAGGTCAGTCTTCATTCTTTGTTCTTCTCCATGCCCGCTCCCTAAGGGGGACCCGATCCCGTTTTCCTTGTGCGAATGTTATAACGAGGTTCCTTTGCGCTACTATTGCTAGCCAGCCACAACAATCTTCCGCTTATCGCTTGCATTAATTCTCCCCTTTACTATAATATTTCTCTTCCTTTCCTTTGGCGCTCCTTTCACTTTAGCTCTTCTTGCACTCTGCACATATAGCTGCGCCCTTGTGCCGTGATGACCTCATGGTCAACCGTTCGACTTTCATAAAAAATGCGATTTAAAGCGTTTTTTCATATTTTTCTATATTCTATCAACAAACTTCTACCGTCTTTCTGTTTCACCACAATATGGGTTAAGAAAAGTGCAGAGGCTCTTCCTGTTTGCAATAGGTCTAGCTACTTTTCGGTGTCTGGCGTCATAGCCATGGCAGTATTATTGCGATATTGGACTGAACGATGAACTGCTCCCTGAATGACAGAGTAAGCGAGCAAGGATAGCGTCCTAATGGCTCCAAGCACAGCAACCATGCGTTCGAGAAAGTCATCGTCGTGCACGTGTTTCCAGTATCATGACGGGCAGCTCTCCTACCTGCAAGGTCGCTATTCAGTTTTCTTTTTCTTTACATCGAATACTCTTTTCTCATGTAACCGTTTGCTGACATTCCATGCTTCCGTTGGCTTCTCAAACATGTCAACCAATAGGCCCCGAAGTCTCATGACTCCGAAATTTGGTGAGCGATCATCAGAAGTGCGAGCGCAAATACAACAAATTTCTTCACTTCGAGACACTGAATGTATTTTGAGTGCTCGTTCGCCTGCATCAAAGCTCTCGCAAACACCCCTTCAATTGAACTGACAACTTGATGCTGGTAGATAAGATTGTACTGAATCTGGTGGAAGCCTCCAATAGATAGAGCCACATCAGTTACTTTTTTAGCATAACGTTCGTGAAAATCCGCGATCTGGATCAGGGGACATTCTGGCGTTTAACATTAGTCGTCCAATGCTACGCCGATTGAATGGGATTGGAATCCATGCGCTGGGTGAATCTCTGATGAGGTAGTCGATTGTGTCTACATCACAGAAATCATTCTCGTTCGCAACGATATCATACAGGAATGCTTTCTCCTGTGGACGACCACTAGGTAACCATGTTCCACTTGCCTCGAATTTCCTAGATAATATGAGCTCCTCAGTGAAGGTTATGCTCCTTTCGAATTCGTCACCTCTACCAAGGTATTGTTCCAAAACCTCACAAATCTCGTTTTCGTTAGAGCTACGTTGAAGTAATTGATCCATGAAGATCCGTGCCAGATCATCAAAAAGACCTGCCAGAGACACGCCGGGACGATCTTGTGCCCTCCAGATTCAACGATTTATCTTCAACAATGAAATTCTGGGTTCCGACCACCTACTCCAGTGGATGGTATAGCGAAAACCATGGACCATGCCCTGAATTTTGCGCTTATTGGGCAGCGTAGTCTAGTCGTGGTTAGAACCATCATTAACTTCTTCTTTCAAACTTGGATAAATAGGTCGTTCAAAGCCACCCACCCTTTCATTCAAGCCGTCATTTGAAGGTGACAGCTTTCTGATGTGTCGCTTCACGCGTACTTGTTGATCTATCTTTCACGCGGTTGCTGAAACCAACATGCAACATCGCACGCCGGCCTACATATGTCTCGGCATAAGGACTAAGCCCACAGCCCTAGATCTTAGCGGCGAACATTTTTTCTAACTCTTGAGGTAATTTTCTTGGAAATGAGAGCGAACGGTTGGCCGCTGTGAATCGCGCAGGGATTTTTCGTTTTTCCTTTTTCTTCTCCCTACTCCACCTACGCCATCACGGGGCTGGAATAACTGCCCACAACGAAAGCGACTCCTTAGCTTGGCTTCCTGCGGGCTATTGTTGGATGTTTACTCTCCCACCGTGGCGTCGAAATCCCAACTGGGAATCCGACGTACGTCAGCTATGCAGGGAACGCAGACTGACAAGCTATTATAATAGTTACCTTGATAAGGGAATGAAAGTAAACGATATTATTCTACGGCTCAATCACGTCTCCCACCTAAACACATAGGGAGCACCGATTCTCCTTCGTCGTATAAAATTGAATCGTACCTTCGCGTGGTATCCATTATTGTCATTGATTTCATGCCAAACACTCACGCGCAATTTAATTCAGGCTCTATTCTCCTGGCGAGGCTTTTGCGCAACCATCTGACACCAAGGCTGTGTCTCTTAACCCGACCAACGAGTTACCATTGTCTCTCTTCGACGACTTCTCCGACGACGTCCTACTCCACGGGCGAAATGCCAAGGCACTGCGCGATGCCGCCACGTCCGGCATTAAGCAGGTCTGGAACGACACCTGTGCCACGACCGCATTGCTTACCAGCAAGATCATCGAAAGCAATTCTGCCTCCAAAATAAGCTTTACGAACCTTTGCTGCGATAGGGAAACGTCTGGACAATATGTCGACCATCGCAACGTTCCATTCTGATACTTCGACGCCACAGGTCACTTCTTTCTCCGGGGTCAGTGAGAACGGGATGCAATTTTTAATATGACACCATCGCCTTGAGGAGGTGGTGCGTATGCGACAGGCCTCCCTCTCGAACGAGCAGCGCGCTAATCCCCTAAAAAGGCACCTTGACGTTGTCGCTCGGGAAACGTGAAGGCACTGGATGAAACTGCGAAGAAGAGCCACTCAGCAATACTACCGCACCTACTCTCGTTTGTCGAAACCCCCATCAGCGATGTGTAGAGCATGTTGTCAGAAGCTCGAAAAATCGTGCACGTCATTTGCAAAGCGAGTGCTGAACCTGATACGCGCCAGGACCCAGCTGCTGCCAGATCGCGTTCTAGAAGAGTGCGTGTCCCGTCTCCTTGTGGGTGTTCGGTTCTTTGTGGAACTCAATGAGCCGACGTCTTCCGAGCAATTCGTGAACAAAGCACAAACGGTAGAACAGCTCCTCGGCGAGGTGACAACTGAACCTTTCTTGCACCCCACTGCGCCAACTTTGGCGGCTGTCTCGACAGTTATCTGCCTCGCAACAGGTCGTAGCTCAGATTGTTCGAGCGGTCTTACACGCTCTGCTTTTCGACCTCGCGCTCTGATCTCGAATCCACCACCTCAGCGAACAAAACGAGTTCGATGCTCTCCCGCTCGCTTTAGAATCAGGCTCAAACAAAGACATCGCTTCCCTGTCCACGTCTCTCCGAGGCCCACTGGCCCAGTTGCGGCAATTACAGGCACGTATCGCAGCAGTGATACGCAGAAATAATGAGCCTGGAAGGTGCCTGTGCGTCTGTCCCTCCGACCCCTCCCGTATGCCTTCCCGATGTTCGGCTGCTGTTTTGCGTGGTGTTATCCATTGCTGCACTTACTCCACCTACTGTAGCGTTCGAAGCATGGCTTCGCCCGTCCGACAACCCTTCCTTATGCGACCCCACGAATATCATAACGCTCTCTCTCCATGCAACATTGGCAACTTATTCGACTCCTACCATGCGTGCTCTCCTAAATCGCCGGGATATTTCGGCGACTTATCTAGGAGGAGGTTGTGTCGAAATCTGCCGATGTATAGCCCTTTCCCCGTGAGAGTCAGAGCCGATGCACAGCTCTTCACCGTATGCCATTGACTCAAGATCCCGTCAACGCCTACTCAAGCACACGCGGATTCGACGTGTCGCAAATCTTCGTCGGAGACTTGGACTGGGATCTTTCCTTCCACCTCCGCTATCCGCAGCCGCAACAGAGAGCGGACGCCGAGGCAGACACGTTTACCCTAAGCATCGCGCTTCGACGTCAGTCTTCCCTACTTACGAATTTACCAGGATTACGCCATGTACAGCAGAACACCAGCTTCTAAGGGACGTGCTCGCAGTCCAATGACGAGGACAGTTTGGTCACGTCAACAACATCCAGTCGCGTTTTAAGAACGCCCGGAAGCAGTGCGCGTTCCTCCTACACTCTGCAATTTCGATCTTGACGATGTTGAACGAGACAACTTTTTCCTAAGCGTGGCGCGTATGAACGTAGTTTGCCCCATGCGCTTCTATGTTCCAGCAGTATCGGTGTGGCGCAACGCGTCTTGGTGAACGCCTTCCACTACTTCATACCGTCACATTCCAAAGTGGCTATGTTACTATTGTGAGTTGATCGCCCAACTCAAGGCGAGCTGGATGGGATAGCAGACCGTTCAGACGACTTTAGCAGCTACAGGAGTGACCCGATTATCGCTCCTCTTCGCATAAGTACACTTCTTGCAGCAGCAAGCGCCGCACCCTGACCAGGCAGTCCTTATGGACGACAGACGGACATACGAGTCATAGCATTCGTTCCGAGTATGACAGCCCTCCCACTTTGACTCCACATCAAACTTCACAGGATGACGTCAGAATCCGCCTGGTCACAAAGACGTTCAGTCGACGTATGGATTACTAACTTAGCCATGGCGGCACGGGCCACCATTGCTCGGACATCGATCAATTTCGCCGGTCAGCTGCTCGTTGTTGAACTCCATTCCGAATCACGAGCTCACCGCGCCGTCTACCGCGCAACTGAATGTTACAAGCCCGTCGACGGCAACAGCCAATGCGCACAAATTCACGTTAGCGCCCGTTTGTGTCGAGCAACTTCTGGAACATAACCACTTCTCAAGGTAATCGCAGGTGAGAATCTGTTTGGAGATATCCCTAAGAATGCACCTTCAGTCGCCAACGGTATCCTCAACTTGGTTCATGGCAGCGCCAGCCGCCGATCTGAGCAAGCCACAGCACCGTAACGCCCCCCGTCCATCACGATAATCCGCTATCGCTTTTCCACACTTCGTTTTCGGGAGGACCAGGCCCGTGCGGTACAACTTGGGTGTGGACATTGTTCTATTCTAGCAATACAGGCGACTTACGGCACGGGAAAATACTGTTGTAGGGGCAGTATTAGCCGCCGTGTGGCAGCACTTGGGCAACTGGTAATCGCCATCGTCTTCACAAATGTGGCAGTGGACAAATTCGCCGAAACGCTGCTTCAGCTGACAACAGTTGATCTTCACAAGATATTCCAAGGTCTTCTGATCCGCTTTCCTGACGCCTTTGTTCCAGGGGACGTGCCTCAACGCGTATGGCCACTGCTTGCTGGCTGAAAGGCTACTCTTCTATAGTGAGGTCTTGGTTCATCTCACCAATGAGGAACGCGAAGAGTTCCAGCTAGCTGAGGAAGAAAACTCCGAGACCACGCAGTACGAGGTGGGGCTCATGAGTCGTGAGCGATTCCCCGCCACACTCGATATAATAACATCGTCCTTCCTCGATTCAACCTTCCAGGCGGCCTCTTTTACGAGCTCGCATGCTGCAAGGTCATCATTGGGGACGCGCTTCGCAAATCCTGGAGCCGGCTTTTGCCTCCATGTCTGGCGATTTCCAGCGCCTCGCCACGTCTACATTGACGACGTACATCGATTGGCACCTCACCTTCATTTTCCCGCTTCGTCACGGCTCGGAGCAAGAGTATTCATAGATACATATTTTGCAAGATAAGGATGTCCCCCTCGCGCCACTAGTAACCACTTTTAGAGTTTACCCGTCTCTCGACTCTCTTCCGAATCGCCTCGTCTACAATGGAGCGCTCGTTAGCGGAACACGGGCTTGGCTTCGGATTGCGCGCTTCTGTTTAAGCGAATCGGCTTCCCTAATCCCGCACCCCCTCCGAGTTGGTCCACGTTAGTGTCTCGTCGATACTCTCAGCGTCTACATCTCACTCACATGAGGATGAGGCACAATGCTGCGTAGACCTGGTGTGCGCATTGCTACTAAGGATATCCCTGGATCGGGTATAGCCATCGTCACCTCCTGCAAGGACCAGTAGCGCCTTCTGCAATCGGGAGCTCGTTGACTAGGCATTGTCCTGCACATCGTCAGCACGTTCAAGGCCCCGAAATGGATATTGTTACATTCTCACGACGAGATCCGGCGTAGATGCTTCAACGAAAGAGCAATCTACTGGCTCTTCAGGCGTTATCAAACTGAAATCGCGTCACACAGTGGGCTAGCGAAAACGATGTCATCGTCAATGATTCGACACTTCTAGACCTATCCGCATGACCACTACAACATATGTCACAAACAGCGAGTATTTTTTCCCTTTATATCCTTCTTTTACTGCAAGTCCGAGGACGGTCTTGTTTTAGGGGAGGGGGAGGTGTGGGAGTTGAGGTTAGGACTGTGATCAGTAGATGATGTTTATCATAGAGTAGGCTTAACGCAAAGCAGATGATGAGAACATATTACAGGAGGTAGAGACGCGACGCGGTGATACAAAAGGGAATGGAAGAAGCGGCGTGGAGAACGACCGACCGGGGCTTCCCTATAGAGCCAAAGAGAGGACGACCATCGCGACTTCCCATGCATCGGGTCCGAAGGAGCCCGGCACATCACTGCTCCAGTACTCGTTATTCGTCTGCAATTGTACATTTTCGATAAATGATATCCAGTGTTACTGCGTCGACTGAACATGTGAAGAGGGGAAAATCCGAGGATATTTTTATATGTTGGAATGCCTTATTCAACGAGCTGACGACTCATTCGCGAACACGGCCCCACTCACAACGTGCTAGGTGTATTGCAAGTCCTGAACACCTGCTGACGATAAAACACTTTTCTATAGCCTTTGGACCGAGTTTGAAGTTTTTCCAGACTCCAACCGAATCTGTTTTGATTCCGTTTGTAACGAAATGAATATTAGCAATAGCATTTTCTGCAGAAGTGAACATTTTTGTTACTAATAATCGTCACGATTAATTAATATTGCATATAATAATTTTCGGTCAAGACAAATAAGAAAACATGCATCTACTGCATGTTGTGCAACACTCAAGTTGAGGCTTGAATTTTCTTCTTCCCTTTAGACTATCTTATAGGTCGCAAGAATTTTGCCTCTGCAAAACTGTAATCGGACGGAGGTGGTGTAGTAGCAACTCGCATGGTCACGGGTTCGAAATTCGGATCAATATCAGCCCTGGCCAACCAAGGCTTCCATCCCTCCGGGGTCGATTAATTGATACAAGACTCGTTTTGGAGGAAAAAGCAGTGAATTGAACATCGGCTGGCCACCTCGGCCCCAGATGCATTTGATACGCCACCCACGATTCTGAATCAAAATCGAATGCGGGGGTGAACACCTCAGACGGGATTTATTGACGCGTGGAATTTTGTGCTTTCGAAAACTTTGAGCTGCACTCCGTTCAGCTATGATTATGTTTTTGTTTTGTTTCGCCTCCCAGAATAGAACTAACCAATAACGCAAGACACCTTAGGTTCCTCGTTCCTTAGAGAAAGGAGTAGACCGGTTCCATTAGGTAGATCTTTCATTCCTCGACAGATAACATTCACCAGGCCCAGATATCCATCTGCAAATCACTCGCTCTGGTTCTTACTGTTAAGAAGGTTTTTTAAAAGGCCCAACTACGGAAAATAAGAGCTGCA